TTCGAATAAAAAACCAATACAAACTCTTTTTCTATACAATTACTAACATCTACAGTATAAAACATAAGAAAAAGTACAAAATAAAACACTGCTGATTAATGTAAATATAAAACCTGAGTAATGTAACAAAACAAACCTTTCAAAATACAATCCTCTCAATATTTGTCAGAAAGATATAAAGTGAATCCAGCAGCTCAGGGATTTTATCTGCGCTCACGTCACTGGGGACGCTTTTATCTGCGGGACAAAACAAACTGAAGCACCGGTCACATGACCTACAGCCGCCAATCGAAGGCAGAGGAGGAGAGCCGCGAGTGAACAGGATTAATGGAGCAGAAGAAGACGACCTGAGGCAGGTTACAACCAACCCACCAATCACAGGCAGAGCTACTGATGTCACTGACGACTGAGGACTTTTAAAGGAGCAGTTCAACATTTTATAAAACAATGTTATCGTAGCTTAGGATACACCACAGAGAAACTGTTAGCTTAGCATAAAGACTAGGTCTTACCTTCCTCTTGAATCGTCCTCTGATGAACTCGTCATCTCTAACTCGCTGCTCTGTTGAGTTGATGAGCTGTCACATACACCTGTTAGCTCCGCCCCCTTCAGATCAGCTGGTCTGCTACCTGCAGAGACAGTAGCCAATCAAATTGTTGTCATGATGATTGTTTCCAAAAGGTCAAAGTGAAACAGAGCAACCAACATTGAATTCTTTAAAAACTCCAAAGTGTCACATGTGAGAAATGACTTTAATTTAAATAATAATAAATAAAATGTTTTAAGAAGTCGGAGGCCGTGACATCATGGTGTCGTACCTCTGTGGCCGGCATCTCTCTCCCTTGTCTCTGGCGGTGAAGCGACACGTTTGACCTCTGACCCCTGACACTCGTTGCTGGCAGCTGTGGCGCTGAGAGAGAAAACACTTGTGTTGTGACGTTATTCACTTTCAGCAGCAGGTGGCACCACAGCTGCAGAATGTACAGACACTGAGTCATCCTAACAGCTGAGACTCACCTGAGAGACAGAGGTCTGGATCCACCAATCCTCTCTGAGGGGGGTGGGGCCAGGCTGGTGGGCGTGGTCACAGACTGGAAATGTGATTGACAGGTGTTGCAGGACACCACCTGAGGAGAGAGGTTAAAGTTAAAGTGTGTGTGTGTGTGTGTGTGTGTGTGTGTATATATGTACGAATGTGTGTGTGTGTGTGTGTGTGTGTGTGTGTGTATTTCACCCAGCAGACAACTCTTCCATTCTCACATGGCAGTCTGGCATCATCATCACTTATCTCCTCTTTCACCATCCTGTTAACACATTATCTTCATCATCATCATCATCATCATCATCACCATCCTGTTAACACATAATCTTCATCATCATCATCATCATCCTGTTAACACAT